TATATATATATACAGGGTGTCCCGCGTAAGATGTGCCAAAAGAAAAATATAAGTAGAACAGATAAAAGTGAACAAAAATTGTAGAGGTCATTTTTCAAATAATCACGTAAAATTTCGAGATATTAATTAAAATATTTAGACATATTAGAACGCGGCAGCCGGTGACATATGGATCGCCGCGGCCGGCGAAAAAAATGGACGATTGCTCGCGGACCTATCTTATAGGTCAGAGAGGTGGGCCGTTTGGAAATGGGTAGCACTATGGGTATGTCCGTGTACGTATGCGTTCGTCCATTTTCTTCGCCGGCCGCAGCGAGCCGTATGTCCCGCCTGCCGCGTCTCCGCACTCTGATATGCCTAACCATTTTAATTAATATCTCGAAATTTTACGTGGTTGTTTGAAAAATGACCTTTACAATTTTTATCTGTTCATTTTTATGTTCTACTTATATTTTTCTTTTGGCACGTCTTACGCGGAACATCCTATATACACTGTCACTTGATGGAAAAAAGAAATGTATCGTCGTTCTTGAAGAAAAAAGTTTATTGTATATTACAAATTGATTTAATTATTAATCTTTATATTTATGAATTTATAGTTTATTACTTAATGCTAAAAATTGAAAAGTTTTACTATCTGTAGATGAGAGAGAGAGAGAGAGAGAGAGAGAGAGAGAGAGAGAGAGAGAGAGAGAGAGGGGGAGGGGGACGACAAATTCAGAATTTAAGCTTTACTTGCATTTTGTGTGGCGGTTGTATCACCGATTGCATCATGATCCAAAAAAAAGTTCTCAATGAATGTTTCTTCAAGACCGATGATACCGTAATACAATTATATATATTATTAGAGCTAGAGAACTCACCTTTCTCGCTTCACGAAGAAAGATTTTTTTATTTACTTACGTCCCGTCGTCGCGTGTACTTCGTGTACGACTTAAACACGCTTATATTTATACCTTCGTCAATCTCGAACTGTGTTGCGTCTTTGCTAAACGGATTCGCTCTTATTAGCTGCGCTCTCTGCTCATCTCGTGGCTTTTCTTCTTTCTCTCTTCCTGGTACAAGAAGACATTTATTTCTATTCTAGCTATTCTAATGATCTATTTAACTCGAAGAGGGTGTAGATAACAAGAACAGAATCGACGAAGATACTTTTAAACGACACTTCGCGTGCGGCGAACCGACTGCGATTTTCTTAAACAATGACATGTAGGAAAAACGGATCTTAGGTCCATCTACTCTTTTCAGCTGCACTTACGCTTTTCGTAATTCAAAATAAAATAAATATATATCATGGCAGTAGAATGAGAAAAAAAAGAAAAATCTGAAAGTATACGGAAACAAGATCCATATTCTTTAATTTTATTTTGTATCTATTTATAATTGCATGTGTATAAGTTTTCTTTTTTTAAATTTTATTTTTCTCAATTTTATTTTGCATTGAAAAATGCATGTAAAGAATAGAGAATTTGTTTCCGTCCGCTTCTTTCGATTAAAATGTGTCTTTTAAGTGCAGTTAAAAAGTATGATAAATTTTGTACATCACGATACAGTTGCGACTTATATAGTTGCAAAGAACATTCAAACGAGATCTCACATACATTAGTGTGTATTATATATAGATATCCTTAAATATACAGGGTTATGATGTAAGCAATTATTTTATACGCACCATACTCTCTCTTTCTTTCTCCATTTACGCATTCACCGAGAAAAAGAGAAATACAAAATCGTATTATGATTTTATACGACAATTCGTAGCTTTCTCCAACATCTGTGTTACATGTCGTATAGTGAAACTCCGCGCGTGTGCTCTGTATATTGTGAAGCACGCGATATTCTACACCGTGCATGCGGTGTTCGGTAATGAGCGCATTTAGGTAAACAGAATACAGTTGCTCTTAATTTTTAAGGATCTCAGATTGTTACCGGAATCAGACAGCAAATATTCACTCGATTTTATATTCGAAGGATCGTGTTCCATCTTTAAGATACTATAGATATTATTTGTTACTAAAATCACATTTTATTCGTAATAAAATGTTGGTCCCGCAGATGGGACATCGTTTCAGAAAGATCGAATCGGTTTTCGAGAAGAAATTAACGCACTACGTGCGTCAAACATGCCGATTTTCGAACACTCCGCATTATTATCAGTTTGTCATAAGTGGTGACCGAGTCGTGCATGCGTTTTGCGAACTTTTCATATTCCTCTCGACTCGAGTCACACGCTTAAATTTGTGCGCTTCTTTTCTTTCATATCATGTGAATAAGTGTGTGTATCTGTGCGTGTGCGTCGCGCACGTGTGTCGTATTTAATCGAACACTTCTGTAGCAATTCTGCAGTAAAGATAGCCAAAATATCGAACGGACGTAACGAACGATTCGACGATATTCTGGAAATATTTTGCAATTCAACAAGCGATGCTCTCTCTGAAATGCGAATATCTTCATAGGAATCTTGAAGGAAAATCAGAAATGCACTTTGATATGAAATTACAATTTAGAAGAGCGAGATTGATCAAAGCCAGAAAGCAAGTATACTTTCATATCAACTGCCTGATTAAAAATACCAAACGTCTTCATTTATCTTGAATTCTTTTCAATGATACAGTTGGAGTATTTAAATTAGACATAGATTTCTGACACTTCTACTTGGTATTTTTAGTTAACTGTTGACGTGAAACTGCGCATCTGTACTTTGGCTTTAATTCGAACTTCTCTCCTAAAAAGTCTAAAACTAGTCACAGAAGAACCAAAGCGTAAACGAGTAGATCAACAAATCGTTTACAACGCGCTGTGAGCTAAACCTAAGTCAAATATATTACATAATCTCGTATATGATTACAGTGTATAAAATTAGAATACAGTTTTGTCCGCATCAAATGCAAATTCGTTGGCGAATACAAACCATTCTTGATTTATATTAATGGTCACTAGAAAATAATGTCACCAATTTCTTTCATTTTTTTCTTTCAAATCCTCGCTGTGTATGTATGTGTCATCAATGTTACATCATTGCGTTCTTATCACAGACGTGAAAATTACCTATTCTATGTGGATTTGTATCCGCTTGTTATAACTTATAACAAGAGGGTACGGCATATCATTCGCGCGGATCAGATCGTAGTCGATTGTAAAGTCTTATAATTGTATTGGAAGTTTTTTAGGTGATTCGGAGTTGCAGGTAGCGCGCGGATTCCTTATCCTAAGTCTAAGGTGAGGACACAAATCACGGAAGAAAAAAAACGATTTATCGAAATTAATTCGATAATGTCGCTTGCACTTTCTGGAGCTTAATCTAAAAAAAAAAAAAATTATAATTCGGAAACCATCAACTTTGAATTATTTTTTCTTTTGTGTTTAAGTAAGCGGTTTACCCGCTAACACTTTACGCGCTATTTCGAATCACCCTGTATATATTGTAATTTCACAATCGCGCGTAACACGCGGTTGTCTATTATAGTTTTGGCGTAGAGGTGCAGCTAGGATTTTGGAACTGGAAAATCGCGAAATCATCTTCTCCCAACTACTACCTCTCTTGGAATTTCCCTTTGCTAACTCGCCAACTACACTCCTGAACAGACGTGAAAATATCGCAAGGGAAGTGCAGGGAAAGTTCATGTCACGCGACCTTTCCCGAATCGATTTTCCGTTTTTTGCGAGCGAGTTAATTGTACGGTTCAACTATTTCATGCGAGCAGAAAATGGATGTGTCGCGTGCCACGATATTTCCTCGTTCGACAATTTGGCTCGACTTCACAGTGGTGTACCGATTTCATCGTTAAACCTTGTATTTCCTCGCGTTTTTCTAGCTCACGTCGCCAAGAAATAATATGAAAAACGAGAAAATGAGCCTGAGCAAGTTGTTGGCTCGATTTTGCATCAACTTTCACTGATTTCATCGCATGACCTTGTCGTAAGACGGCGGCGGTGTCTCGTCCGTAGTATTAGGCGGCGGTATTAGGATGGCGATATGATAAGGTGGCGGAGGTGGGTTTTGCCTCACCGTCGTCGGTGGCGGCGGATTTTGTCTCACCGTCGTCGGCACAGTCGGCCTCACGCTTTCGCCGACGGACACGTCGGAGGCGCTCGTTAGGGCAGCGATATGGTCCTCCTGCATACGGTGCTCTGGTCGACCGTGATTCTGAACGCGGCAGAAGATCGAATACAGACACGCGATCAATAGTATCAGCAGTAACCCGCAGAACACTAGTATCTCCAGTCCCGGTCCCTATGTAGGCGATGAAACACGATCAAGAGTCGCCGAGAAAATATGAGAAGTACTTTCCATTTAGTCACACAAGTTGGCGCAAACATCATTCTATCTTTACTATTCACTGAATATGAAACAAAGTGAAATGATGTTTGTGTCGACTTGTGTTAGCAAATGGAAAGTACACAAAGGAAAACGGAATTATCGTTGAAAATAGCGGCATACGTGTACACTTACTCGATAACCGAAATAGAATTTAGCGGCAGCTACGAAAGTTGACGCTACGACAAAAGTGATCCATATGCCGCAACGCAGCCGATAGCCAGCCAATTCCGCGTCGCTGAACTCGGAAAAACCCAGTAGACTCCTGTTGGTGCCGCTCGCGGTCGCGTTGGACAATATCAATTGATTGTTGCTGGTGTCGGTGACATTGCTGCGAACAATTCGTGAAACGATAAGCGTCTCGATAGCACTTCGTCGCGTGCCTTATCTTTTATTTCAACGTGGGACTGCGAACCGAGGGCGATTCATTTATAACTTTCATTTATTACTTTCCGCTGATAGAAACATGTATAAGTGAGTCACCCTGTATATAGGAAGAGCATGTTCCTCAGAATCTCCTCTTAGTAGACCTTTTTGTGTTTCATTAATTACTTAGGGATGTTGTTCAGCTGGGCGAGCCGGGCGGCCCTGAGCGACGACGAACCGTGCCGATTACTCTCGTTGCGGACTCGCGTGCTCGGCCGGCCGACGTTGCGGCAGGAACTGACATTACTGGGTCCAGCCGCGTTTCCAACTGCATTACCGAGGCCCATGAGTCGAGGCACCGGAGTCACCACATTCCTGAGCTCGCCACCGTGCACACATCGGTCTGCAAGCAAACATCAGTTAGGACCAAAGTTGTACTATAAATTTTAAGATTATGTCTATGCAGATTATTTGTATTTTCTATGTGATATATATACATGATTTTTTTTCATGTAAATAGTGGAAATTATGTAAAATATTATAAATTATATTAAAAATATATTTAAAAAAATAATTAAATTTTAGGATGGATATACAATATCTGTTTGGTATTAATTTATTTAGTGTTACATTGTATTAATTATAAATATAAGTTTAAAAAAGATAAATTTCATGAAATCTTCATTTTATTATGTGACAGATTGGTAGATTTTTTTTTGAAAATAAGAACTATGTAACTAGAGAATTCTGACTCAAACTTATTTAGAAATCAACATCCACAAATTTACATTAGGATTCTAAAAGAACTTTTCTTAGTTAATTATTTAGCAAGCCATATGTCTTTTAAATGACATCCATTAATTACTTGGATGTTTACTTAAATAACATTTCATATATAGATGTCTATATACATAGTGTCATAATCTACATATAAGCATCTAACTATTAAAATTCACGTAAATGTTTTATCTCATTCTGCTAATTTGTTCATATTTCTTCAATAAATTGAACTGTACTGGTATACTTTGATATACTTACTGAAGTATGTCTTGGGCACAGGTGTGGCAGGATATCGGCAGCTGCTGAAGCCGTAGTACCTGCCCGCTGGCTTGTTGATCCAGAAGTGCATGGGAGTCGAGATAGTGTGGACGTGGGGATCTTTCTTAAAGATCCATCGTTAACAAATGATCCTCTTTCAATATCCTTTCAATATCCTTGTTAACAAATGATGTCTCTCTTTGGCAATAAGATGCAACTTTTGAACTCAGGAGACTGTTTGAGTGCTGCTGCTCCTGATGTATCTCAAGTCTCTGCGTCGTATCAGTTGTCGATACCGCGTATCATACATTGTCCGTCACGAGTCTTATTGTCGACGGCGATGATGTTTATTAGGCCTGTCCGCAGAGGAGTACGCATCATCATACACAGAGAATTTTAGCAATAGATTTTAAATGTCTACAAGTTCTACTGGGAAAAGATTATTCTTAAAGAGGAAAATAATAACGCACAAGAAGGAACGAACCAGATACACAGTAATTCGGAAGAGCAGAGAACAATTACAGAGAGAAAGCGTAGAAAGTGCAATTAAAGAGGACAGAATGTCGCCGGGTTAATTTTTTGCTTGCACTATCTTTGCGCTTTTTTATTTCAAGTAAAATAAACATATACTCAGGTTTTATCTACGGAAAAAGAGGAGGGAGAAATTGTAAGCGAGATGTGAAAAGAGCGCGACGAAAGGACTACATTCGCTGCTCTCCGGAAAAAGAACAGAGAAAAAGACGATACTCACCTTCTTCCCTTTCTCATGTGTGCCTCGATAAGTCACAAGAAAATATCATGCTTGTCCTCGTGGCACTTCATTATCTGTCCAATGTTACAAACGCAAAACAGCGAGACCCGTCGCCTGCGTCGTCGTCGCTATGAGTGCAAAAGATGCACAAACCATACGATAGCACGAGCTACAAGTCTCTATGTCTCTCTCTCTCTTATTGGTTGCAGGCCTGAAAACGAGCTACAAGTCGATAACAGCGGTGAAAAGCTGAAAGTTGCTACATCGGCGTTTTTGTGATACCGTTATAGACGATTGCTTGATGCGCCATCTGCACTTGTTACCAAGAGGTGTTTATGGGTGCGCGCTTTCCAGGGGCTCGATTCTCGAACTAGTTGCGTACACGTAAGTTTTACTGCGCAGCTATTTTATGGTATGATTAAACTTGCGCAGTAAAACTTATGTATACGCAACTATTTCAAGAATAAGGACCCTGCTACGTATACTCGTTGGCGCTAAGGGTCTATAGGAGTGTGTATGTCAGTTGGACACGGGGCAATTGGACACAGTCCAATCACAAGTCGCTGTTTCAAAGGACCCTACAAATGTCTCTAAGTACACGGTGCTGTGATTGGCTGTGTCCAAATGCACCGTGTCCAAGTGCACCGCTCCCTCTATAGGAGTTCAAGTAGAGACATCTCGCGGAGGACCCGAAACTAATGTTGGTATTTGGCCAAATTTTGAGCAAACAGAGAAAATTGTAATATGATTGTGATATTCATAATGAGGAAAATAATCACAAGAGTGCGACAGTGTTTTTTGGAGAAAATGTTGAAAAAAAGGTCTAAATTATTGTGATTGAACATTTGGTTGAGGTACAGTACGAGTCTATATTTTAATTAATAAAAAATTTTTTAGAGCCTAACGCGAAAGTCGAGCTCTGTAGCACCCTTATGGCTCCTGCACACAGGACGCGGTAATGCTTGCCGCGCGGCAGAAGTCCGCGCGATAGCCAATCAATATGTTGTTTTTCTGTAAGAGCTAGAAGGTTATTACGGAAAGTAGCATATTGATTGGCTGTCACGCGAACTTCCGCCGCGTGGCAAACATTACCGCGTCCTGTGTGCAGGAGCCATTAGTACTAATACAAGAAAGATATAAAAATTTGTTTGGTTAGTGAATGTAATACGTATGAGACAAACTTTAGCGGGGGTAGATACTACGGAAAATGTAATATAACTGCATTTTAGTTCAGATAGCTTGATAGCCAACCTTCCTGTTTTGCGTCCGCACGATCCGTGCATTAGCACTTGTACATATGTATATTCGTGTTATGGCGTGTACGAACCAATTGTACATACAGCTGTTGCCTATAGTTGCGTTCCAATAGTCATTGGCAATATATGAAAATGTATAGTTAGTGTTACATATACTATAGACTTTCAATACTGGTAGTGAATGCTGGAATACGCATAATATATCTTTTTATAGGTGTAAATCTGATTATGTAGCACCTCTCAAATTAATATGGGGAACGTGTAAAAAAAGATATGGAACATGTAATGTCAACGACACGAAATATATTTTCTCTCATATACAGCAAAAAGTGTTGCACTATAATACTTAAGTGCAGCAGTCACAGCATTTATATATCATATTTTTGCAAATCGATAATAATACCGGCGATAATAGTGCAAAAAACAAGCAAAAAATACTTTTATTCATAAACATTGCGTATGCAAAATAAAATATGTTGAAACATTACGCACTTGCATGACTGGTGCGATACATGATTATGCACGACAATTATATTTATGTTACAATTCTCCCACACGTATTTGCAAAATGTGGCTCTGCAGCATGCTTCAAAATACTGCAAGGAACAAACAAAAAATGCTTTCTATCATAAATATTGCGTCTGCTCAATAAAATATTTTCGAATACTACGCGCTTGCTCGACTGGTAGGGTAGCGGTGCACTTGGACACGGTGCATTTGGACACAGCCAATCACAGCACCGTGTGATTAGAGACATTTGTAGCGTCCCTTGGAACAGCGACTTGTGATTGGACTGTGTCCAATTGCCCCGTGTCCAACTGATATACACCCGTACGGTACATGATTGTGTGTACGGGACAATTATATTTATATAACAATTTTTCTACACTTATTTGCAAAATATGGTTCTGTAGCACCCTTAAAAATAATGCAAGGAATAAACAAAAAATCCTTTCTGTCATAAATATTGCATCTGCTAAATAAAATATTTTTGAACAGTACGCGCTTGTACAACTGGCACGGTACATGATTATATGTGACAATTATATTTATATAACAATTTTCCCACATCTATTTACAAAATATGGCTCTGTAGCGCCTTTCAAAATAATGCAGGAAACAAGCAAAAAATGCTTTTCTTCATAAATATTGCGTCTGCAAAATAAAATATGTTCAAACAGTACGTGCTTGCATGATTGTTGCGGCACATGGCTATGCGCGACAATTATATATATGTAAGATTTTTTCCACGTCTATTTACAAAATGTAGCTCTGTAGTATCCTTCACAATAATGCAGAAAATAAGCAAAAAATGCTTTCTTTTATAAATATTGCGTCTGCAAAATAAAATATGTTCAAACGGTATGTGCTTGCACGACTGTTGCGGCGCATGACTATGCGCGACAATTATATTTATGTAAAATTTTTCTAAATTTTTCAAAAAAATTTTTTTTCAAAAAAATTCTTTTCACTAAAAAGAAATGAGAAGAATTTTTTTGTAATTCAAAAGTAACTCTGAATTAGTGACATACGCAAGAATTTTCTTGCATTTCTTTTCAAATGGTCAATGTTCTCAAAGATTATCTTTTTTATTGAAATAATGTTTAACATGATTGCAAATATCAAAGGTACTACGTATTATACATTAACAATTGGAATATTAAAAATATTATGTATGAAGGCTAAGCGATTTGCGCTAAAGTACTGTAGCGCAGCACTTTCCGTACCGGCAACGTATTTCTATTGGCACGCTATATTTCGCACGGAAAGCATTGTTATCTTGTTTTTTTCCTTATTATTTTGAAGACTAAAACATAGCCACCTTTTGCAAACAAGCGAGAGAAAAATCTTACATAAATATAATTGTCGCGCACAGCCATGTGCCATGTGTCGTGCAAGCACGTACTGTTTGAACATATTTCACTTTGCAGACGCAATATTTATAAAGGAAAGCATTATTTGCTTGTTTCTTGAATTATTTTGAAGGGTGCTACAGAGCCACATTTTCCAAATAGGTGTGGGAAAATTGTTACATAAATATAATTGTCGCGCATAGCCATGCATCGCACCAATCGTGCAAGCGCATACTTTTTGAATATATTTTATTTTGCAGACGCAAAATGTATGAAGGAAAGCATTTTTTGCTTGTTTTCTGCATTACTGTGAAAGGTACTACAGAGCTACATTTTGTAAATAGGCGTGGAAAAAACCTTATATATATATATATATATATATATATATATATATATATATATATATATACAGAGATGGGAAAAAGTTCCGGAACGGTGAAATATCTCGAAAACTAAGCATTTTAGAAAAAAATGTTTCAGATAAAAGTTGTGGCGTTTAAAAAGATGTATTTACTGATCACATCAGTTTGACCTTGGGTTGCGTAGCGAAGGTCAGGTCAAGGTCACATTAATTTTTTTAAATGGAACACCCCATTTTTCATTGCATATTCTTATAGCACATCTCGAGAGCTTTCCAAA